AAAGAAATGGCAAACCACTCCAGTGCCTTTGCCAAGAAAACCCCAAATGGGGTCACAAAGAGTCAGGCATGACTGAAATGACTGAACAACAACATCTGTCTGTTTGTCTGTCTGTCTGTCTATCTATCTATCTATCTATCTATCTATCTATCTATCTATCTATCTATCTATCTATCCATCTATCTATCTATCTATCTATCTATCTATCCATCTATCTATCTATCTATCTATCGAATATCAAAGCTCTTAGAAGCCTTCCCAACACAATCAGGGGTGAAGCAAGGATAATCATCATCACCTCTATCATTCAATATTGTACTAGAAAGGTTAGTTATCGCAATAAGAAAAGAAAAAGAAATTGAAGGAATTAGAATAGGTGATGAGGAAATGAAACAAATTATCACATTTTGCAGATAATACAATGTTATACTTAAAGAATCCTAGAGAATCAACTGAAAAACTACTGGAAATGATAGAATATCAAAGTTGAATAGATCTCCAGGATGATGAGATTTCAGGTGATGAGCTTATTCTGGGGAAGGCATAATGTTTGAGGAGTAGAAACCAAACAGAGTAACTGCTTATAAGTGAAGGAAGATGGAAAAGTATGAGCCCTTTATAAAGCAAGGCCTTGGGAAGAGTTCCTTGCTTCCAAATACATAAATTAAATGTTCTCTTGATCTGACAAAAGAATTTTGTGTCTTATATTTCTTCAATAATTTATCAGAAGGAGAGATAAATATAATGACTTTTGAATCCAGGGATTTGGGGAATATGAGGGGAGTTGAAAGATTATCTAGTTTTGCCCCTGTTTTAACAGAAGAGAACATTTTGACCCAGAGAAAATAATAACTCACTTTTCTACGTCTTGAGAGGCAGCAAGTCTCAGTAGATAGAGGTCCAGCCTTGAATTGTGAAGGAGATTCAGGTTATGCTCCTGATATGTGCTAACCCTGTGACCATGGGCAAGTCACTTAATCTCTCAAGCCCCAAGGGAACTCTAACAAATTATGAGTTATAGATGGGATCTTTATCTGTAGAGAGAGTTTCCATACTGGAAGTTCTTTGCAGAGAGTAAGAAATTACTTGGTTTATCATCTGTTAGATGAGAGGTTGATGGCCTCTGAGGTCCCTTCCACTTCCAGGGCCACCTTTAATCTTATGGTGATAGGTCTAGACCAATTTTTACACCTCATAGCCCTAGTAAATCAATATCATAAACAGGTGTATGTTGGTAAAAGTTTGACAATTGGCTTTCCAGGAAAAAAAAGAGTATGAAAAACACACTTTTAAGTTTAATCTGCATTATGAAAATTTTCTCTATCACTTTCTTAAGACCAGACTGGGATTGGCAAACTTTCTGTAAAGAGCCAGATAATAAATATTTTAGGCTTTACAGGACAAGAGACACAATTGAAGATATTTTTGTAAGTACTGATATAGCAAGAGAGAAAACAAATTTCCACAAATTTTATTGATGAAATTAAAAATATAATAATAATAATAGATTTCCTTGGGGCAGGGGTGTAATAGAGTTCTACTAATGAGAAGGATGGATTTCTTTTTTGGGGGGAGGATAACATTTCAGTTAATTTGGATTCAAAATTAGTGTTCACATCAAAATTGATTGGAAATGTTCATCTGTCAATGTTGATCTGGAATGAGATTTTACATATTTCATCTTTGAAAATGTCTTCACAGAGATAGATGCTGCCAAATGCTAACCATCACTCCACAAGTATATGATTATAATTGAGCTGATAACCTAATAGTCTTAATCAAATTTATTTTCTCTGGACTGTAATCAAAAGCTAATTAACTCATCATTAGTAAATGGCTTCCCTTGCTTGGCTAATAAATAAGCCACGAGGAAACTTTGGTTGTAGCCTTATTTTCACTTTTTGCTTTTAATTTAATTTCAATTTTTAATTTTAACTTAACTTAAAATTTTAATTTCAAGAAATTTCCCAGTCATGAGATATTCCATATTAAATTTTCTAATTTTTCTGATCATTGCTTTCCTGTGAGTTGGGAATATTGTGATGTCTGGTAATGTCAATGCATGTCATACTTTTTTAGCAGTGCTATAGAATCATTGCATAATAAGCACAATGCTTTGTCATCTAATGAGATAACGAAATAATCCACACTCCACTGTGTCTTAAAAGTGCTACATTCAAAATCCACTTTTCTCTTCTTTTCTTGTTTTGACATGATGGGTATGCACCAGTAACAGAGAGATGTTGCCATACAGTAATAAGTGTAGCAATTGAAACGTTGAGCTCTGAGTCAGAAAGATTGGTGATTTGTCGTGCAGGAGTGAGGGCTGCATACAGTCTCTGTCCCGACTACTTATCTTCTCCATTGTAGCAGGAAACCAGTCACTGACAATATGTAAACAAATGAGCTCAGCTGTATTCCAATAAAACTTTATTTATGGACACTGAAATTTGAATTCATATAATTTTCACATCATGAAATACTCTTCTTTTGATTTTTTTCCCTCAACCATTTGAAAATGTGAAAACCATTCTTAGCTCGCAGGTCATACAAATACAAGGTAGGGGCCAGATCTGGCCCATGGGCTCAGCTAGAGTTTTCTGACCCCTGTTCTAGACTATCAAAGAAATAATAAATCAACATCTGATTTGTAGTGTTTGCTAATTTCCAAGTTGTGAACGCTCACATTGAAAATTTAACAATGAGAACCAGCAGGAGCTGGCTCCAGCTTGTTCTTGAGTATAAATTTGTTTTGGTCCTGGATATAACATCTGTGAGTTTATTGGGAGGACTCCCCGTGTGGAAACTCCCTTCACTCATCTGTAACTTTCAGTCTTAGTGACTTTGTTAGGACACTGAGAGGTTGTGTCTTGTCCATGGTCACATATAGCTAGTATGTGTCAAAGACAGCAGCTGAACTAGTGTCTTTTTTACTCCAAAGCTGGTCCTATCTACTCATTATGCCATGTTGCCTCATAAACATTATCCCTGTTTTATTGTTGAAGAAACTGAGGCTAAGTGAAATGAATGGCTTACAGTCACACAAAGTTAGTGGAAGAGTTTGGACTAGAACCCAGACCTTCCTAACACATCTTTGCTTCCTTTATAATAATGTTCTCTCATCAATGAGTAAACTGGAATCTTATTAAGTATGACTCTAGAATAGAGTCAGCAAACTATGGCTCATGGGCCAAAATCATTCTACTGCCTGTTTTTGTATGGCCCATGAGCTAAGAATGATTTTTTATATTTTTTTAAATTGTGGAGGAAAACATTTATTGCCAGAGGCATATAATCCTATTGAGTTCCATACATTGTGCAATGTTAAATTAATTAAAAAAATTTTTTTTTACCATGGATGAATAGTATAGAATTGAATAGAACAGAATTCATTTTTAATCATTTATTAATAAATATTTATATTTAGTATCAATTCTGCTACAAGATGAACAATGGTGACGTGATGATTAAAAAGCTTCGAGAGACATAGTTTTTGGATAATTTAATCATTTTATTAAAAAGGCCAGCAGGTTGTTAATAAAAGGATGGTAATTTGTCCATCTCTCTTAGACCAAAGACAATCATGGCGGAAGGCTCATAGCTTATATACCCTTCCAATGAGGGGCTGATGTCACTCATCATCACGTCACCCCTGCACAGAGAAAATATCTCTATACCAGACCACTCCCAGCCTTGGGATGGGTCCTGAGTAGAACAAGCTTGAGTAGAACACAATGGGCTTCCCCACTTTAGCTTAAATTCCTTGTAAGGTTGGGTGGCATCTGACTAAGATCAGGAACATTAAAATAATCTCATTATTAGTAATGTAATTACTAACTAGCAATTAGTAAAATGGGACATTTAGAAGGGGAGAAACTCTGAATGTCCCCAAGATATTGATTATTAATAACAATTTCTCTGAGTGAAGTTTCAAGGAGTAAGAGTTTTTGAGATAAGCATACTCAGAGAATATGCTTTTCATTCAATTTTTATTAAATTTTCAGTTCCAGAGTCTCTCTCTCCCTGCCCCCCCCTTACCTATTGAGAAGGTAAGATGTACAAAACCCCATATAAATACAAATTAATGGAAGACGAATTTCTGCATTAGCCATGTTCTGAAAAAAAGATCAAGAAAAAGAAAAGAAGATTTAAAAAATATACTTCAATATGCTGTACTCTGAGTCCATTAGTTCTCTGTTTGGAGATAGATAATGTTTCATCATGAGTCCTTTGGAATGGGAGTGGGTCATTGCCTTGATCAGATTTCCTAAGTCTTTCACAGTTGATTGTCTTTATAATAGTGCTGTTACAGTGTAAATTGTCCTCCTGGTTATGCTGACTTCACTTTGCATAAGTTCATACAAGTCTTCTCAGGTTTTTCTGAAACCAACCCCTTTATCATTTCTTATACTGGTATTTCATTACTGGTTTCTAAACTTTTAAATAAAATTTTATTATATGTAAAAACATAAATAAAAAAAAACCCAACCCTTTACTCATGAGCTGTACACAGTTAGACCCAACGGATTTAGCCCTTGAGTAGGTCATAGTTTGTCAACCCCTATTGTACAAGGTTTTATATACTATCAGTCTGGACTAGGGTGGCATCCTAGACTCTGCCTTGTAAACAATTCCAAACCACTTACCATTCTCATGAAGTACAGGGAATAAAATGATCACTGGAGTTGTAACTAGATTTTTTTTTCCTTTTCCTACCTCGGACAAGTTCTGAGAATTGGCCCGGGAGGTGATGGTGGGGCAGAGTGGGTCAGTAAGTAGACTCATTGCCAAATTCTCTTAATTGACTATGATTGTATTCCACAGATAGGGAAACTTTCATTCCTGAGTGATTTGTGAGAGCCTTCTCATCTGCTCTGAACTATTGACTTGTGGGCAAATAGGTGGGTGGGTGGCAGTTGTCAAGGCTACTGAGCCTGTGATGATTGGTTGGACTGGGTCCCAACCCAACAACTCTTTGGGTGCTGTCTGTTTTCTTCCAGTCCAGCTCAGTCTGCCATCCAGCATGCATATCATTAGAGGGCTACCCCAGGTCTACACAGCTGCCCAGCTGCACTTTCACTGGGGTGGAAAGACTGCAGAATCCCACGGTTCGGAGCACCTCATCAATGGAGTTCAGTTTGACAGTGAGGTATACAACTGGAATTTAACTGATAAATATTCCTTCTCATTAGAATAGAGTCTGATGATGGGGTAAACATTGGAAATTTGGTAGTCAAGCAAGTTAAAGCAAAGCAGGTGTTTTAACTAATATGCTTATATTCCAATTACTTTTCTTCCTTCCTTTTTTTGGGGGGGGTAGGGGAGGAGACACGGCTAATGCAGAAATTATTTTGCCTGACTATACATATTTCTAAGGGGTTTCATCTTTATATTACCTTAATGGGTAGAGAATGTGAAAGAAGAATAGCATTTGGAAATGAAAAGAAATTAAAACAGAATTTAGAAAAGAAAGAATATAGGAAGAAAGGGTGATGAATTCCAGAGCACCTAGAAGGGAGTAAAGTGTAAGAAGACTGGAAAGGTAGGAGGAAGAGGATAATAATAGCCAGCATTGCCATAACATTTAAAAAAAATTTAAATTTTTATTTAATTTTTTTATTGCCATGACATTTTAAAGTCTGCAAGGTGCTTTATATGTCTTATCTCTTTTGAGCCTCCTAACAATTATGGGCAAGTAGGTGACACAGTGGATAGAGCTCTGGGCCTAGAGTCAAGAAAACTCATCTTCCTGAGTTCACATCTTAGACTTTTACTAGCTGTGTGGATCTCGGCAAGTCACTTAACTCTCTTTGCCTTGGTTTCCTCATCTGTAAAATGAGCTAAAGAAGGAATGGCAAACCACTACAGTGTCTTTGCCAAGAAAACCCCGAATGGGGTCACGAAGAGTCAGACGCGACTGAACAAAAAACACTAATCCTTCAAATTGCTCTCCAGAGGCATTGATTTCCCTAGGAAGCATCAGTTCTATGTGACTTTTCCCTGGTACATAGTTTTTAAAGGCACATAGACTGTAAAGGCACATGGGAGTTCTTAGCCTGGGATATGTGAATTAAAAAACATTATAGTTATATTTCAATATCGTTGGTTTCCTTTATAATCCTCCATAGTTTATTTTATACATTTAATGAAAACATTAGTCTGGGAAGGGCCCATAGGTATCTCCAGACTACCAAAGGGTCTCTGACACCCCAAATTTTTGGAACTTCTGCTTTAAATTGCCCATTAGTATAATTTTCCCACTGTTCTTTGGTTGTCTGAGACAGTGGTTTTCAAAGCAGGGGGTGTAGCCATTGGACACTCCAGGGGCCAATAGCTTGACCTTAAGTTGTGTGATCAACTAATTAGATGGTTGCTCAAGGCAGGAGGGATAGCTTTCACAAAGTCTGATTCCTGGAGGTTGTTTTTTACTTTGTCCTTTTTTATTTTTGGACCTACACTGCCGAACATATTTTTGAATGTGTTGAACTGAATCAGCATCTTATCTGGGGGGAGGAGGCAGGGAACATTAGGAAAGGGCTTCCATGGGATCTCCCGAATGACTGTTGCATCAGATTCTTGCAGGGGACCCTGGGGCTCAGAGGAGAGAAACCTTGCTTCAGGCTTCTGTGGTTTTGCCTTTAGAGGAACATCCAGATATCATCTTGACCTTTGCTCTGGCCCCACAGATGCACATTGTACACTACAATTCTGAGAAATATGGCAGCTTTGACGAAGCCCAGACCGAGCCAGAGGGTTTATCTGTGCTCACAGTCCTCATTCAGGTAAGCCGAAGCTCTTCATTTTTACCATGGCTGATTGGGCTCAGATGGCTGGCCTAGAACCTGGAAAGAACTCTTCCTCTTTTTTCCTGTTCATTCTGTTTGGGATAGCACTATCTTACAGTCCCCAGAAGCTCAGACCCAGCTGTGGGGTCATTTCTCTACCCAGTCCCTGCTCACCATCTCTAGCTCACCCCTTATTATCTATTTCAGGGAACTACAGGCTCCCCTGACATTTCGGGTCAGCTTTGACTTATGTTTGAAGGGCAGAAATTAGCAAAGCCTAGACACAGTGGTGATGATTCCAATATGATCTAAAGGCAAGGGTTGAGTATGAAAACTTTGTTAGAAAGATTGGCCATTTTCTCATGTTCCCAGTGTATAATAAAGGGGGCAAGTGGGATAAGCATTTGTTAAACTCCTACTATATGACACTTACAAATATTATCTCATTTCATTTTCATAACAACCTTGAGAGGCGGGTGCTGTTAATTGTCTCCATTTCACAGTGGAGAAAACTGAGGCAGATGGAGGCTAAGGGACTTTCCCATAGTCACACAACTGGGAAGTGTTTGAAGCTGAATTTGAACTCAAGTGTTTCCTGACTCTAGGTCCAGTGCTCTATTATGACACCACTTAGCTAACTCTAGTCCTGTGTATGATACATATGGGCCATGGAGGTGAAAGTGGGGGCTTCCCCAACACCTAACCAACACATTCAAAAAGTCCTGTGCAATGTGTATGCAATGTCCCTTGTGGACCTCCCACTTACAAAAAGAGCTAGGTTGGGGGAGTCTTCCTAGTCTTTCTACTTGAGTCCTGCTTGATCTTTATAATTTTGTTACATTTCCTTTTGACTTTTTGGAGTGTCATTGTTCTTTCCATTTACGTTGTTGCAGTTACTGCATATACAGTTTCCTTGGTTCTGCTTGCTTCATTCTTCTTCAGTTCATATGGATCTTTTCATGCTTCTCTGTGTTCATCACACATTGTTAACTCTTTAAAATTTTATTTATTTATTTATTGTCCACATCTCTGATTTCACTAGTGTAAGGAATTCCTTTTAAGGAAACTCTGCCCATCAGTTCAAATCAGCAACTGTTCTGAAACTGATGATGTAGTAGATAGAGGGGAGATCTGGAGCCTGGAAGATGAATTCAAGTTGTCTCTGGGGGTAGCTAGGAGGCGCAATGAACACAGCACTGGCCCTGGAGTCAGGAGGACCTGAGTTCAAATCTAGCCTCAGATACTTGCTAGCTATACGACCCTGGACAGGTCACTTAACCTTGATTGACTCAAAGAAAAAAAAAGTGTCTCTGACATATATTGGATGTTTGACCCTGGGCAGGTCCAGGCACTTAGATCTCTCTAAGACTTTAAGCCAGTGGTGTGCTGTTAAAGGTTTTAACCACCACCTCTTGGGGATAGGGTGAGGGCATGTGTGAAGGATGCATTTTTAAACTTAGCCTGCACTATCAACATTTTCTTCATCATTTTCTTAAGTCTAGGCAATCAACAAAACAATGAAGCACCGATATGGAGCATTTGCCAATTTCTGAGGGCATAAATGATCGCATTGAAAATTTCACAAGTCCCTTTTCCAAATTGGTTGGCGCTAACTCCACAAACTCTTTCTTTAAGTTACTCTTATTTAGAACTAGAAGAACTTTTCCTGGGAAGACTATGAAGGGCTCTAGGAGCATTGTCCCTGTTTAGCAATGAGCAAACTGAACCAGCTTGAGATTGATTTCTGCAGTCATTTGATGGTAAAGAAGAATAATATCTCCAAGAGAAAGTCTCCTCATCTTCTTTTCCACACTTCTTCCCAGAGAGGCCACCTAGAACGGTGCAAAGAGGGCTGGACATGGAGTCAGAACAGGTCGAAGCTTGAATCACTTTATAGCTGAGTGTCCATGGGCCAATTTCTTAACCTCTCTGAGCCTCAGTTTCCCCATCTGTGAAATGGAGATGATAAGACCCAGAGCACCTACTTCCCAAATGAGATGCTGGTGAAGTGATCCATTGTCAGCTATTATTATTATTATTCCCTCTTCTTCACCATTCTATACTGCCATTGTACTCCCTCCCTATTCTGCTTTTTTCCTACAGGCTAAGAAAGGTCAAGACAATATTTATTATGAGAAGATTTTTTCCCATTTGTCCGAGATCCAAAATGTAGGTAAGTCAACACAGCACCAGGGGGAGAGAAATTAGCCCACGGGACACATCAAAGTGAGAAGAGAAGAAGAAGGCAGACAGTTTGGAAATAAGGACCCATCGGGGGCACCCCCATTTTGGGGGCCAGGTTTCTCTTGCTGCACATTTACTCTTCATGTGGTACCCTTGGAAGGATTTGTCCATAAACTGTCCTTATGGTGAATGGCCATGCTTGGGGAGTTCTGGGGCATAAGTCCCAGGACCATGATAGAAACAAGTATTGTGTGGAGGAAAAAAATGGAAAATTTGGCATCAGTGGATTTGAATTATGTTTGAGAACTGATTTTCTTAAGAACTCAAAGCAGTTGACTATTCTTCCTGTGGGGGATAGGATGGGAAGATGACAGAAGGAGGGTGGTTTTAATGGTTCCTTGCAATGTCCCAGTGATAACGTTTGGATGGACCAGGAGCACTTTCCCATTTAACTTTACTGGAAGAGTAAAAAGCAGATCAGGGATAGAGTTTTTCCATAACACAGTAAGTCCAGTCAGAGCCACAATTCAGCCTCATGACCCCATCTGTGTCGTTTCCCCAACCCCAGGGCCGTATTGGCCAGCCACCTGTGCTTGCCGCAGATCTACTGAGTGTCTCAAACTCTCTCATTTCCTATCTCTCTGTCAGGGGAGAACGTAACTCTGAACTCCATTGACGTCGAGCACTTGTTGCCCCATGACTCCTCAAGATTCTTCCGATATTTTGGCTCATTGACCACTCCCCCATGCACTCAGAATGTCATATGGACTGTTTTGGTAAACCCTGCCACCATTTCTACAGCACAGGTAAACATTTGCCTCCCTGTTATTATCCTTAACAAGATTCCACTGATGGCTTTGGAGAGGATAAGGAATTAATTCAGCTGCTCCACCCTGTCCCCTGGTTCCTTGTGATGTTTGTTTCATTCAATTAACCAGAAAGCACTTATTGAGTTCCTACCGTGTGCCAAGCACCATGCTAAACACTGAGAGTACAAAGCAAGGCAAAAGCAGTCTCAGTTTAACAATGCTTGACAGAGTGCCTGGCAAATAATAAAGCCTTGTTGACTGCCCTCAAGGAGCTCACAGTCTAGTGGAGGACACAACATGTAAATGACTCTGTACAGACAAGACATATACAGAGAAGGGCTATGAAACCGGGCATATCCTTTGACCCAGCTATACCACTCCTAGGTCTGTATCCCAAAGAGACCAAAGAAAAAGGTAAAGGATCTATTTGCACAAAAATAGTTATAGCAGTTTTTTTTTTTGTGGTGGTAAAGAATTGGAAATTGAGAGGATGTCTATCAATTGGGGAATGGCTGAACAAGTTGTGGTATATGATTGTGATGGAATGCTATTGTGCTGGAAGAAATGAGGAGCAGGATGATTTCAGAAAAACCTGGGAAGACTTACATGAACTGATGAAGAGTGAAGTGACCAGAACCAGTAGAACATTGTACACAGTAATAGCAATACTGTACAGTGATCAACTGTGAATGACTTAGCTATTCCTTTTATTTTGTTTTATTCATTCATTTATCTATTTTTTATGACTTAGCTACTCTCAGCAATATAACGATACAAAAGAATTCCAAAAGACTTATGATGAAAAATGCTGTCTGACTCCAGAGAAGGAGCTGATGGAGGAGTCCGAATGCAAATTGAAACATAGTTTTTTGTTTTCTTTAATATTTTTTTAAATCTGCATTTTCTTTTGCAACATGGCTAATATGGAATGTTTTGCTTGACTGGACATATACAATCTATATCAAATCACTTGCCTTCTTAAGGAGAGGGGAGGGGAAGGAGAGAGGTATAGATCTAGTATGGTATTGCTGGCTCAAAAAGTATGCACAGTTTTATAGCCCCTTGGGTATAGTTCCAAACTGTTCTCCAGAACAGTTAGACTAATTCACAACTCCACCAACAGTGCATCAGTGTTGCTATTTTTCCACATCTCTTCCAGGACTTATTGTTTTCCTATTCTGTCCTGTTAGCTAATCTGATAGGTATGAGGTGGTACTTCAGAGCTGTTTCATTTGCTTGTTGATAGCTTTGATTTCTTCTGAAAACTGCCTGTTCATATCTTTTCACCATTAATCAATTGAGGAATGGCTCTTATTTCTATAAATTTAGATTGGGTTCCCTATATATTTAAGGAATGGGACTTTTATCAGAGAAACTTGCTGTAAATTTTTTTCTCTTAGTTTTCCTTCTAATTTTGGCTGTATTGATTTTGTTTGTGCAAACCCTTTCTGATTTAAGGCAATCAAAATTAACCATCTTACCTTCCATGATCCTCTCCCTCTCTTGTTTGGTCAGGAACGCTTCCTTTATCCATAGATCTAATAGTAATTTTTTTTCTATGCTCTCCTAATTTGCTTATGATATCACCCTTTATGTCTAAATCACGGTCCCATTTTGAGCTTATCTTGGCATATAGTATGAGATATTGGTCTATGTCTAGTTTTTGCCAGACTGCTTTCCAGTTTTCCCAGCAGTTTTTGTCAAATATTGAATTCTTGTCCCGAAAGGTTGGATCTTTGGGTTTATCAAAGACTAGGTTACTGTAGCTATTTACTTCTGCATACTGTGTATCTAATCTATTCCATTGAGTTAGCCACACTATTTCTTATCTAGTATCAGATTGTTCTGATGATTACCAGGATGTGATTTGTAGCTGCCTTCTTTCACTTTCCCCCTCATTGATTCCCTTGATATTCTTCACCTTTTGTTCCTGCAAATGAATTTTTGTTATTGTTTTTCCTAGCTCTATAAAATAATTCTTTGGTAGCCTGATTGGTATGGGACTGAATGAGTGAATTAATTCAGGTAGAATTGTTATTTTTATCGTGTTGCCTCAGCTTACCCATGAACAGCAGTTCATATTTCTCCGATTATTGAGATCTGTCTTTATTTGTATGAAGTGTTTTGTAATTGTGTTCATAGAGTTCCTCTGTGTGTCTTCCTAGATAGACTTTCAAGTATTTTATGCTACATGCGATTATTTTAAATGGAATTTCTCTATCTCTTCCTGATGGATTTTGTTGGTAACATGTAGAAATGCTGATGATTTATGGGGTTTTATTTTATATCCTACAACTTGGCCAAAGTTGTTAATTATTTCAACTAATTGTTAAGTTGATTCTCTAGGGTTCTAAGTATATCATCTGGTTTCTAAAACTCTTTCCTCTGTTAAGAATCATGGCTACACAGCTCAGCCTAGACCCTCAAAGCGAGTGGGTGGATGGGTAAAATTTCTAAAACTTTGCTCATGCAGTTAGAGGTTGTCTAGTGGTCTTTTGAAACCTAAAGCAAATATTAGCACCAGCAACGTGATTTGGGAAAGTCTGCCCTGCAGGCCAGAGATTTAAAGGTCTTTTTGAAAAAAATTCAAGACCATGGGAACTAGGCCAAGCTGGCTTAATGGGTGGTTGATTGGGAAGGTGGGTCAGGGGATTTCAAAGAGAGTAAAGAAATGGCCTATCTTCCTTGAAGAATGGTACCTACCTCCTGGCAGGGAGATGGTAGGATATAGGATGAGACACTGTTTTGGACATGACCCAATATGGGAATTTTTCTTGACTATGCTTATTTTTTATAAGGGTTTTCTTTTCTTTTTCCCACTGAGGGTGAGTGGGAGAGAAAAATAAATATTTGATCATTGGAAAAAATTAATTTACTAAACAAACAAACAAAGCAGAAATGACCTACATTAAAAGTATAAGGATTCACTTCGTCTAGGAGGCTAGCAATTGCATATCTGGCTCAGTAACAAGGTCCCACTTCCAGCCTGGCAGCTAGCTAAGCCCCCGAGCCTTCACGTCCCCTACATAACGAATGTCTCCTGTGTTACCTGCAGCTGGAGAAGCTTCAGAACTCCGTCTTGAATAGTAATAATCAGATACTTCAAAACAACTTCCGGGAGGTTAAGCCCCTCAACCAAAGGAGAGTGGAAGCCAATTTCTCACCTAAAGGAAAAGGTCAGTGAAAGCCAGAACCTCCGTGTCAGTCCTTGGCAATGGAGTTTTCTTTCTTGGAATTTATTGGTCATTAGGTACATTAGAGTGTTGGGCCATAGTGTATCAGACTGACAGTACAAGAGGCCTTATTCTCAGATCCTGGCAGTCCTTGACCCTCAGTTCAGACATAGTGAACAGGTGTCTAAGGAAATTAATATAAAATTCAAGGTGAAGGAGGGGCACTGGTATGCTATGTAATCAAGAGAATTGTCTTGAAATGGGGGTATATAGAAAGGTTTTAAGGCTTCCTATGACCTAATAATTAGAATAAATTAAAGTAAGCCCTATCAATTAATAAATTAAATAATAATAGCCATGTTATTAGGTTGTAGGAGGCACTGAAATAACTTGTAATTAATAAAAATTATTAAAAATAATAATCATGATCACAGCTAGCATTTGTCTTGTACTTCCAGATTTTCAAAATGCCTCACATATGTTATCTCATTTGATTATTGTAATAACCCTGTGGGGTAGGTGGTATTATCATCCCTATTTTACAGATGAAGAAACTGAGGTTGAGAAAGATTAAGTGATTTGCCCAGGGTCAAAAAGGTAGTATCTGAGGCAATATTTGATCTTATCTTCCTGTTTCCTTACATCAGTGGTCATTCAGTATTTATTAAGCTCCTTCAATTTGTCAGGCATTGTGCAAAGTGATGGGGATATAAAGAAAGGGGAAAGACAGTCCCTGCTCATAAGGATGTCACAGTTTAATGGGGGAGACGGGCTGGGGGGTGGGGGAGACAGCATGCAAACACGCATGTATTAAAAGGATGGACAAGGCAAAACGGAGATTTGTCGATGAGGGGAAACACTCACATTAAGGATAATTAGCAAATACTTCTTGTAGAAGTTTTTTAGCTGGGATTTTAAAATCTACAAACTTTTTTGGTTGTTCTCATCGCTAAAATTTTTTTGAGTGCATCCCCAATATAGAAATACTTTTTTGCAAGTTATATACATGTGCATGCTAATAATTATAAAATATAAAAATATTAGAGATAAAGAATAAGACACAGATGAAATAATCTTTTGTCCTAGAACTTTTAGGAAGTCACTGTTGTTTATTGAGTGGAATAGTGACATGGTCAGATCTCTGTTTAAGGAAATGACCTTGGCAGCTGAGTGGAGAAAGGGTCACAAAGAAGAGATGAGGCAGGGAGACGACATAGGATATTGCAATAGTCTGAGGGAAGAGGTGATGAGGTTGGAAGTAAGGCGGGAGCCCTGTGAGTGGTGATAAAGGGTGTGTGTGAGAGATATGAATGTAAAAAAAAGATGAGGTTGGCATTGGAGTGGATTTGTGGGGTGGATGAGGAGTTAAGGGTGATACCAAGGTTGTAAGCCAGGGTGCTTGAGATGATGGTGCTGCCCTAGGCAGTAATAGAGGAGTTTGGAGGGGGAGGATTTGGTGGAAAGGGGAAGATATCGTGTAATGAGATATGTGGTACAGATTACAAGCCATTTATACTTGCTCATTCTCTGCAACACACTTGGTCCTGCTGAAAAGGAAAAGAGTCACGGTTATGGTCACGGTTCCTGCCCAAGCCCCAGGTTCAAGGCTCTCAAGAGGCGTAGTGTCAACTGAAACGCAGAAGCCTGGAGATGAGCTGGGTGAATGGCGGGGTTGGAGGGAAGGGCAGGGTGTGGGTGTGCCTTGGGAGGGGAGGCGTTCCCAACAGTGTCAGTGGAAGTGACAGTCATGTGTCTGGGTTGAAATTAAGCTATAACTGCCCAAGGGACTGAAGGGGAAAGGTTGGGCTCAGGCACAGCTCAGGGAGAGGGAGGAGTTAGAGTGTGTATTTGGAGATAATGGGCGATTGGTGGAAGAGGTAGACAAGTCCTCCCCACTGCCCCTGCTATTGGGGGAAAAGTGGTTTGCAGCCATCTTCCCACTCTCCTTCTTACTGGTTGTTGATGAAGTAAAGCCTGATGTCCCCTTTAAAGTGCTTAGGATCATTTTCTGGGAGAGGAAAATTTCATCTCTGCCAAGAAAGGCCCTCAATGTGTTGAAAGTCCCTGATAAATGACTGCTTTTTTTTTTCTAGAATGTCTGAAGGTAACGGAGGTGGTGCTCTAAAGAAAAAAGCAACCTGAGATACTTCTCTGCAGTTCAAAAATGCACAAAAGAGGCAATCCTTATGAGAAATAAAAAGAAGCCTTGTAGATAACCATCATCAGGCTCCAGCTTACACCGGGAGCTAGAAGATGCCAGTTCACCATTTCCTTCACCAGAAAAACATTCCTTGCTCTGGATCCTTCCTTAGTTGCTCTCTTATCTATGCAAATCTCCTTCTTGGATTACTAACCTTGTGCATTTCCCAGATGCTCTTAGTGGAACTGCTGTTGCTGAAATGATCAGATGATGGAATTAAATTATACCTGGAGGGATTTAATACAGATAGAACTGATGATAGAAATGGAAATTGATTTTTTACTGTTAGTATCTGCTTTGATGGATATTAACTCTCAACCAATCTTTCCTTTTATGCATTGAGATGTAATAAAATCATTTGATGCTTTAAAGTTGTCCTTTTATATATACACTTTTTTCTTCCCCTTTTTCTCAGATGCTGCTCTCCTTGGGATACACTCAAACTCAAAACAGGAAAGAAATGAAAGGAAGGAGAAAGAGGAGAGAGTGGGTATAAGTCTAAGGGAAGTAAAAGATAGGGATACTAGAGATGGGCATCAATAGTTCATGCAACATTTTACAACCATACTCTCCACCCTCTACAAAGAAAAGAGGGAAGTGTATTTACTCAACTTTTCTCTAGGACCAAGCTTCTTTCTTGCTACATTTTTGTTGTTCTTCTTTCTGTTGACATTGGTGAAGTCATCGGGTATGTTGTTTTCCTGGTTCTGCTGACTTCATTCTGCATTTGTTCATATGAGTCTTCTCAGGTTTCTCTAAATTCTTCCTATTCATCATTTCAGATGGTACAACAATAACTATTCGGCTCAAGTACCACAATTTGTTTAGCCATTCCCCAATCAATTGCCATTTGATTTTCTGCAGTGTTTCTATTTTCTATTATTTGGATCACTCCCTTGGCACTTAGAATATGCCTATCTGGTGTTGAAAGGGAAGAGAGAATAAATGAAAGAGATAAAATAGAAAGCATTCACAGAAGGAAGAAATATCTGCTGATTGAAGCCTAGAACAAACAGGAAAGGATTTGGGGATGAAGTTTGAAGGCAAGGGACCACAATGTCCATGGTCACAGTTGGAACAGACTTCTTGTCCTTGATTAATTCAAGGAGGTATCCAGGCCTTGTTCACACCTAGTGAACAATTGATGTGTTTAAACCTGATAAATGTATCAGGTCTTACCATCTTAACACTTACTTACTTACTTATTTATTTTGGCTAGGCAATGGGGTTAAGTGACTTGCCCAGGGTCACACAGCTAGTGAGTGTTATGTGTCTGAGGCCAGATTTGAACTCAGGTCCTCCTGACTCCAAGGCTGGTGCTCTATCCACTGCGCCACCTAGCTGCCCCTTGACGCTTACTTTAAATGGGGTGGAAGTGATATAATTGATCTATTCACTCTACCCAACCCCTCTTACAGAATTACAATGAAGAATTGGGCAAGGTAATCCCTATTCCCTTCATCTTTCCTTTAGGAGCCTTCTTATCTTTCTTTCCTCCCATTATTATACACACATACTCCCTCTTTCATATTGATAGTTCTCATTTGTTTTAGTCTTTTCTCCCTCTAGTGTCAAAGTGTTTTCTGTGAAGTCTTTCTTTCTACATCTAGATATTAACAACTTCAATGAAAACAAAACTTTCTTTAGCACTTCCAGATTTCGGATGTTAATCATTGTAGGACACACTGTTTGGCAACTGGTGTTATCCCTGCCCTGAAGGGGCTTATAATTTAGTTGGGGAGAATGGATAGATCCATAAATGATAACTAACAACACCAGGTAGGCCTATGTTACATGCCAAAGGAGTGATCCAAATAATAGAAATTAGAAACACTGCAGGAAATCAAATGACAATTGATTGGGGAATGGCTAAACAAATTGTGGTACTTTATCCTGATGGATATTGTCATACCATATGAAATGACGAATAGGAAGAATTTAAAGAAAATCTGAGAAGACTTACATGAACAAATGCAGAATGAAGTCAGCAGAACCAGGAAAATAATATACACGATGACTATACCAACAGAAAGAGGAACAACAAAAATGTAGTATAATTATAATGACCAAGAAAGAAGCTTGGTCCTAGAGAAGAGTTGAGAAAATACACTTCCCTCTCTTCTTTGTAGAGTTTGGTTGTAGAGGTTCTTTGTATGGTTGTGGAATGTTGCATAAATTGTTGATGTGTTGATTGGTTTTGCACAATCTCTCTCTCTCTCTCTTTATCCTTTGTTATAAGAGATGGCTCACTAGGTAGAAGATGGAGAGGGATATATCCAGCCAGTAAAAGTGAAGTAAAAACAAAAGGTCTTGATTAAAAAATGTTTTAAAAAGAAATGTGAGAGAGGTGAAGCCACAATGGGGGAGTAAAGGCATAGACTCACTTGAGCTCTCTTAAATTATCCTTCCAAACAACTTTAAAATAATGCCTCAAATTGAATTCTGGAGCATCAGAACCAACAAAAAGTGAGGGTGAAACGATTTTCCAGTCCAAGACAACTTAGGAGGTCAGCAAGAAAGGTCTGTCTCACTGGGGTGTTGGTTGGGCCTAGAGCATGGTGTGGTGTAGGCCATGCCAGCAGCAGGCATTGGGGGCAGCTGCATCTCTCAGCCATAGATGGTAAGGGGGTCAAACAACTGTGCACAAGGAGATTACAAGGGACCCTTTGCTGGCTTTGGGCACAGGATTCTGTTGCATTGCCCATACAGTTCCAGGTCATGGTCCTGTGAAGAAGACCCACCAGCCCATAAGCACTTGCAGCAGCAGAGATACTTGGTCACAAGATTCCTGGTCACAGTTCCAGCATGAAGAAGAGTGCTTGTGGTCACCACACATCAGAGCATTGTCCAGGAGAGCAGTGACCACATGTCTCCTTAGATATACTACCTTGGAAGGACCCAAAACTTTCAGATCTCTAGAATTAGCTCTGAAAATAGTAGCACAAAACTGAAACTTGGGATAGTGCCCCCTCTACTCCATGAGCAGAGAGCTACTTTAACAAAAAGTTAAAAGTCAAAAAATAGGCTGGGAAAATGAGCAAACAACAACAACAAGAAAAAAGAATCTGACCAAAGAAAGTTACTATGGTGACAGGGAGGTTAAAATGCAAGCTCAAAAGACTATGAAGTCAAAACAGCCACATCCAGAGCTTCAGAGAAAAATGTGAATTGGTCACAGGTCCTAAAAGAATTACCGGAAGAGGTCATGAAAGCTTTTAAAAATAAAATGAGAGGTAGAAGAAAAATTGGGGAAAGAAATGAGAATAACATGAGAAAATCAGGAAAAGAGAGTCAACAGCTTGGTGAAAGGTACACACACACACACACACGCATACACACACATATACACACAAACCTGAAAAAAATAACACCTTAAAAAATGGAAAAGAATGGAAATGGAAAAGAAGGTACAAAAGCTCACTGAAGAAAATAATTCCTTAAAAAATAGAATTGGGCAATGACTCCACAAGACATCAAGAAACAATAAAGCAAAATGAAAAAATGAAAAAATAGAAGAAAAATGTGAAATATTTCATTGGAAAAATGACTACCTTGGAAGATAGTTTGAAGAGAGATGATTTAAGAAATATTAAGCTACTTGAACGCCATGATCATAAAAAGAGCCTTGACATAATATTTCAAAAAATTATCAAGGAAAACTAATCTGATATCTTAGAACCAAAGGGTAAAAAAGAAATTGAAAGAATCCATCAATCACCTTCTGAAAGAGATCCCAAAATGAAAACACCCAGGAATATTATAGCCAAATTCTAGAGCTCTCAGGTTAGGGAGAAAATATTGCAAGTAGCCAGAAAGAAACAATTCAAATATTATGGAGCCACAGTCAGGATAACACAGGATTTAGCAGCTTTTATATTAAATGATTGGAGGGCTTGGAATGTGAGATTCTATAGTGTAAAGAAGCTAGTATTACAACCAAGAATCATCTACCCAGAAGAACTGAGTATAATCCTTCAGAGAGAAATGGATATTCAATGAAATAGAGGACTTTTAAGCATTCCTGATGAAAAGACCCAGAGGTGAATAAAAAAATTTGACTTTCAAATACAAAATGCAAGAGAAGCATAAAGAGTAAACAGGAAAGAGAAATCATAAGGGATTCAATAAGATTAAACTGTTTATATTCCTACGTAGGAAGATGATTTTTGTAACACCTAAGAACTTTATTATTATTAGGGCAGTTAGAAGGAACTATATATATATATATATACATATAGATAGATAGATAGACTATATATATGTATATAATTTTTGTAACTCCTAAGAACTTTATTATTATTAGGGCAATTAGAAATATATATATATATATGTATATTATATATATATGTGTGTATATATATGTATATATAATATATATGTATGTATATAGACAGAACACAGCTGTGAGTTGACTATGATGAGAGGACTTAAAAAAATAAAGGAGTGAGGAAGAAGGATCCACTGTGAGAAGGAGGAAGGGAGAGGTAGAACAGGGTAAATTATGTCACATGAAAGACATGAGAGGAAGAGCTTTACAATGAAGGGGAAGATGGGGGGATAGGGTGGCAGGCAATGAACCTTGAATCTTACTTTCTTTGGAATTGGCTCAAAAAAAGAAATAACATACACACTCAATTGAGTATAGAAATCTATTTTGCCCTATAGGAAAGGAGAAGGGGAGGGGGATAAAAGAAGGAAAGTGCTGCTAGAAAGGAGGGAAGATTGGGGAAACAGTAGTCAGAAGCAAAACAGACTTTTGAGGGAAGACAAGGTGAAAGGAGAAACAGAGAAGGATAAATGGGGGAAATAGAATGGAAGGAAATATATACAGTTAGTAATCATAACTGTAAATGTGAATAGGATGAGCTCACCCATAAAATAGAAGTAAATAGCAGAATGGATTAGAAACCAGAATCCAACGATATTTGTTTACAAGAGACACACTTGGAAGAAAAAGACACACACAGAGTTAAAATAAGGAAATGGAGAAGAACTATCATTATATTGTATTATTATGCTTCAGTTGAAGTAAAAAAGGCAAGGGTACAAACAGGATTTCAGACAAAGCAAAAGCCAAAGTAGATCTAATTAGAAGTAATAAGCAGGTGTGATGGGTGAAAGATAAAATAACTGAAAAAAAGGTTTGACCTTCTGAGCATATGGATTTATTAAATAATACATGCCAATTGCCCAACAAATCAGGACCAATAACCTTTCTCAGCTTTGGCACTAGACCCTGAATACAGGAGGAGACAACTTTTTATATATTAAATACAATGAATTAAATAAGACCAATTGACTAAAAGAAAACAATTAACTAGGACACAAAATTAGGTAATCTGATATCAAATTGGGAAAAGATTAGGGACTTTCCAAGTTGTGAGAGAGAGAGTGAACAGGTGCAATTTCCTAAAATCAGAAAAAGAGGTGGTCTTGCTTCTTCCAGGTGTATACAATCAAAGGAACATGGAAACAATAACTGATTGCTCATTATGGGGCCACAATTTTTGGATAAGATATATGGGTTGCTTGAAGTGTGTAATTGTGAGAAAACTCCCTGCATCAGTCTTCAGATTTGACCAAGTTTGTGGTCAGCATAATCTAGATCCTTAGTTAAGGGTCTCTAAGCAATAGTTAGAAGTGGTCCAGCTTTGCAGCCACACAGGGCTAGGTTCAAACAATGTAACCAAGTTCTCTCACAATTCCAACAATTGAATAAAGTTTTCTCTCAAGACAGAAATTGTAATGGACCCATATTGAGTAGAAGGGGAACTGAGCTACCTCCAGAATTGAGTCACAAGATGGAGTCAGTGTGGTTTACTCAATTCTCACTACCATTTGGTGTTCTAATCCCCTCAGTTTCCTCACCAGAAAACTACATTTTGCTAAAAGGTATCATAGACAATGAACTAATATCAATACTAAATATGTATGTACCAAACGGTATAACATGCAAATTCTTAAAGGAAAAGTTAAAGGAGTTACAGCAGGAACTAAGGCAGTAAAACCACACTAGTGGGGGACCTCAACTTTTCCCTCTCAGAATTGGATAAGTCTAACCAAAAAATAAACAAAAAAGAAGTTACGGAGTTGAATAGAATTTTTTAAAAGTTAGAAACGAAAGCTCTCTGGAGAAAATTGAATGGGAATAGAAAGGAATGTACCTTTTTCTCAGTGGCGTGTGGCACCTATGCAAAACTGACCAAATATAAGGGCACTAAAAAACTCACAACCAAGAGTAGAAAAGCAGAAATATTAATGCATCCTTTTGAGATCATAATGTCATAAAATGATATTTAATAAAGGGCCATGGAAACATAGATTTAAAATTAATTGAAAACTAAATACTCCTAAAGAACAAGTAGATCAAAGAACAAATTATAGAAACAATCAATAATTTCATGACAACATATTAAAATTTATGGGATGCAGCCAAAGCAGTACTCAGGGGAAAATTTATATCTCTAAATGCTTATCCTGTCTATACCTTGTTTGTACATAATTGTTTTCATATTGTCTCCATCGTCATGAGCTGGGACTATCTTTGCCTTTCTTTGTGTCCCCAGTGCTCAGCACAATGTTTGGCACCTAATAGGTGCTTAATAATGCTGTTTGGCTTGACTTGGCCCAGTGAGGCCAAGGAGCCAGCAGTCACTGCCCTCTGTGATGTGTGACCTTGATACTCAACTTCTCTGAAACTGACTAAACTTCCAGAGGCAGGTGAGCTGGAGTTCTGCCAGCCTGTGAAGGAACTCTAGCTGTGGACCAGCCCAAATGTGAGAACACCCTGGTGATGTGAGCAGTGTTCTGGCTGCATTGTTAGTTTTCTGATCCCACATGATCAATGCCAGTAAATGGGATTTATACATATGAGAGGGAAAGTGGTATAGTGGATAGAGGGCCATCCTTTGAATCATAAAGACCTGGATTCAGATCTTGTCTCTGACATGTATTGGCTGTGTGACCTTGGGCAAGTCACTTAATCTCTGGCTCTAGGCAACTCTCTAAGATTGTAAGTGAGCTGCAGTTCTGTATCCATGGAAGGAGTTTTCACATCAGGAGTTTCCTACATAGATCTTGACCAAGGACTATCCAAATTCTCTCTCTCTCTCTCTCTCTCTCTCTCTCTCTCTCTCTCTCTCTCTCTCTTTCTTTCTCTCTGTATGGGAGCAAGTGGTGGTGTGGTGGATACAGTGCTGGGCCTGGAGTAAGGAAGACCTGAGTTCAAATCTGACCTCAGACACACAGCTGTGTGACCTGGGCAAGCCATTTAACCTTGTTTCCCTTAGTTTCCTCATGAAATGATTGGAAAAGGAAATGGCAAAGCACTCCAGTATCTTTGCCAAGAAAACTCCAAATGGGATCACCAAGAGGCAAACACAACTGAAATGACTGAACAACTATCTATCTATCTATCTATCTATCTATCTATCTATCTATCTATCTATCTATCTATCTATGTATACACATAAATATGTAAGCATATACATATAAATATACAATTATATATGTATAAATATATAATTATAAACACACACACTTTTTTTGTGTTTCCAACAAATGTTTTCACGATTCAAAGGTGAGTCTGTCCATTACTTTTATGATCAGAAACCCAAATGAGAGTCAATAAACCAAGACGAGCATAGAACCAGCTGTACTACTCTAGTTTTAATCTTTAAGTCAAAGATGAAACTCTTAACTTTTTTACTTTAAGAAGCATACCAGTTAGACAATGAATTGTTAATATTAATTTAGCTTAATCCTTACACATCAATGAATCCACCTGTCTTGGATTTGTGTGCTTACTATAGGTTCCAAGAAATCATTCTAAACATACAGATGTGTAAAGGATGGTTCATATACCCACCTATCTTCAGGTCATTTAATCTACCTGACAGTCTTGGGAATTGGCTAGACAAAGGAAATTAGCTGTTTTTTTAGTTAACTCAGTGAAAACTGTTCACATTTATTTGTTCGTTGAAATGCTTATTAAGCACCTACTTTGTATAGAGTATGAAGCCAGGCACTGGCTTATAAGACATGTTTTGTAAGTTATATAAGACATGGGCCTTGCCCACATGGAACTTATTGCCTATTAAGGGGTTAATATACAGAGATGATCATAATACACAATAATGCATGATAAGTGCTTTAAAGAGGTACAGAACAAAGTGAGGTTCAGATGATGATTCATTACCAACAGAGAGAGACTCCTGATTGTTCAGTGGATAGAGTGCTGGAGTGAGGAAGACCTGAGTTCAAATAAGCTTCAGACATTTACTAGCCATGTGAATCCTAGGTAAGTCACTTCACCTCTGTCTCAGTTTCCTCAAGTAGAAAATGGGGACAATATGAGCTTATCTTACAGGGCAGTTGTGAGGATCAAATGAGATACTGTTTGTAAAAAAGTACTTTGCACAGTGCCTGGCATATAGTAGACATTATAGAAACGCTCCTTCTCTTCCTTTTTCTTCCATCCTTCTCTTTCCTTCTCTTCCCTTCCTTTCCCTTCCCTTCTATCCTTTCTTTCCCTTCTGACCTTTTCTTCCCTTCCTTCTCTTCTATCTTTTTCTTCTGTCCTTCCCTTCCCTTCCCTTCTGTCTTTTCCTTCCCTTCTATCCTTCCCTTCCTTTCTATCCTTTCCTTCCATTCATTTCTTGGAGGGGGTAGCATCTGAGTTGGACTTTAAATAGTGGGTAAAAGTTCAATAAGAAAAGATGGTTAGAGAGGATATTCCAAGCATAGAGCCTCTAGTTTGACTGGAGCATAAAATGAATGGAGGAGGTCAATTTGAGAGAAAGCCAGAAAGTTATGGTGGTTCCAGATAGTGGAAGGCACTTTGAATCACAGGTGAAACTTTATTCAGTGGGTAGTAGGTAACCATTGAACAGTCTTGAACAGAGGAGAAATGTGGCCAGATTTATGTCTAAGAAAGGTCATTCTGGCAGGGAATCAGAGTCTATTAGAGTAGTTGGGGGAGAGGATAATGAAGGAATGTGGTAGCCAGATGGAAGCAGGAACAGAGAGGAGGTGATCACTGTGAGAGAGGTTGTGAAAGATTACTTGGTAATTGATAGGATATGAGAGGAGGAAGGGTCATAGAAAACTCTAGTCACACATCTTGGGAACAGAGTGAATGGTGGTGATGCCTCAGGCAGAGGGAGTGAAGTCAGAAGAGAAAGCTGGGGGTGGGGGTGGGGTGGAGTGGAGAAGAGAAGAGGCTTGGCTTGTACCTGCTGAGTCCTAGTCAGGGACATGCTGTGGGAAGCTGGACCCTCAGAAGAGAGGTCAGGGCAGTAGATAATGAGGTGGCAGCTAGAATCCCAGGATCTCAGAACAGAAAAGGATGTCAGATGCCACTAAGTTCTGCCTTATCTGAAAAGAATCCCCATCTCCAACATCCCCACGGTGGGCATAAATAAATGCTGGTTGACCTGATTTGACATTGAAGTGTCCTATACTTAGGGAATAGCAAGACAATGAGAATCCAGGGAAGGAGATGGAAAAGGAAAGTTAGGGAAGTAAGAGAAGAGCCCTGAGCGGGTCATGGAAGAGAGAAGCCCACATCCCTGAGGGCCTTTTGGCCACCAGTGAGGGAGCAGGACGAGCAGCTCACCGCTGCGATGACCTGGAACTACTACTGCCCTCTCTAGGGAGACGTTAGCATTAAGGAAAGTAGCAGGATGGTGAAGGATGGGAAAGGTTGCTGGTGACTTGCAGTGATGGTGGGCACCATCAAAAATTTGTTTCCTTGGCAGAAGCTGGGTGTGGCCAAGGGTGGATGTCCATCGTTTCTTCTTTTTTCTTCTCTGTGATTTCCACCTTATTTCTTTTGGCAAAAGTCTGATTAATTTCCACAAATGTTTGGCCCTTGGTCTCAGGAATAACCACATGGATATAGATGGCAGTGAAGAGGCAGATTGCAGTGAAGATGATGAAGCTGTAGGCACCGATGCCTTCCTAAGCCAGGGAACAAAGAAAACAGGAAATGTAAAGCTGTGGTGGGATATCTCTAGTCATTTCTTTCCAGGAGGATTAAACCTTTTGCCTCAATTGACCAGAGGGACCAACCTGTAGGGCTGTTGACTCCTCTGGGGATGTTACAAGGGTTTTGAGAATCTATATATTGTTGTTACTGTCCGGTCAGGTACAACTCTCCATGACCAGACTTGGGGTTTTCTTGGCAAAGATACAGGAGTGGTTTGCCATTTCCTTCTCCAGCTCATTTTACAGATTTGGAAACTGAGGCAAACAGGGTTAAATGACTTGCCCAGGGTCACACAGCTAGCAAGTGTCTGAGACCAGATTTGAGCTCATAAAGATGAGTCTTCCTGATTCCAAGCTCAGTGCTCTGTCCACTGTGCTACCTGGCTGCCTGTGACAAATAGTTTAATGATGACAATGATGAGAATGATAGCTTGCATTTATATAGATCTTTAAGGTTTGCAAAGTCTTTACAAATACTATTTCATTTGATTGTATGACAACCCTGGGAAATCAGTGCTGTTATTATCTATACTTGACAGATGAGGAAACAGTTTTAGAGAGGTTAAGTGCTTTGTTCACGGTCACATAGCTAGTAAGTGTTTGAGGCTGGATTTGAATTTTTTTTATCTCCAGGTCTAGTGCTTTAAGAGACAGCTAGGTGGCTCACTGAACCTGGTAGTCAGGAAAACCCAAGTTCAAATTTGGCCTCAGACAAACTAGCTGTGTGACCTTGGGGAAGTCATTTAATAGCTGCCTACCTCAGGTTCCTCAACTGTAAAATGGGGATAATAATAATATTACCTGCTTCCCGGAGTTGTGGTGAGGATCAAATGAGATAATATTTGTAAAGTGCTTAGCACAGTGCCTAGAATACAGTCAGTGTTGAATAAATGCTTATAGACTAAGTGATTAAACATCAGCTAGACTCCCGGTAGGAAGGTGCAAGGGGCTTGCTATGGACAGGAAGCAACCTCACTTACCTGGATGAATGGAAAAACCAGTCCTATGATGAAGTTGGTGAGCCAATGGACAGCTCCATCCACCATGAACGCAGCCGGCCGGAGGACTGCAGGAATATTTCAGTCCTTACTACTGAGGGAACAGGACCTTAATGGGTAGAGAGAAGAGAGAGAGAGAGAGAAGAGGCAGAGGGAGCTATCAATGGATTCTTCTCTAGGGGCCTTCCAGCCTTCTATTGGGGTTCTTGCATGTTTCCTGCTCTTAGCTCAAAACTCAGACTCCTATGAGACTTAAATGTATAGGAAGTCAAGTGGTACAGTGGATAGTACTACTGAACTTGGGGTTTGGAAGACCTGGGTTCAAATCCCACCACTGGCATTAGCTATGTGACCCAAAGCAAGTCATTTTGCCTGGATGTGCCTTAGGGAATTCAGGATCCCCTATTTAGAGTTGGATGTGTCTTAGACATTCTTTGTTTTACCATCAAGGAAAATGAGGTCCAGAGAATTTCAGTGACTTGCCCAATGTCATAATAGATGGCAGTGACAGGTTTGAACTCAGGTTTTCTACCTCCAAGTAGCACTTTCCCCACGGTCCATGATTTTCTTATTTATCTCCTAATCCCTCAAGACTTACTTGAGAGACTGGTTGTAATCGGCTTTAACGGAGGAGGTTCCCATGCTGGGAGTTCCCTGTTCTGACAAACCCCCATGTTCATATATTTGAATGAGAATTCAAAACAAACAAACCACCCTGGATAAGACTGACCACATGAAGTCATCTCCAAGTGGTCAAAAAATGAATCAAAAACTATTAATAGAGGTGAAATATCAGAGAATATTTCTTTTTTTTCCACTGAGTTATTAAATTGATAGATGAGGGAAATACTATAGACAGAACAAAAGCTTATAGACTGGGCTAACTTGGAAGGTAATGAGTTCCCTTTTCTTGTCAGGTAAGCTATAGGGAGAATTTTTGGTTAGGTGTGGTCACACTAAGGTGCATCTGAGGTCTCTTCTGACTCTGAGATTCTGTGAATACCTCCAGACCATACATCATAGGCCATAGATTTAGATAAGGAAGGACCTTAAAGGTCATTTAAGTCTACCAGCTCATTGTCTCGATGAGGCAGCTGAGGGTCAGAAGCTAATTGACTTGACCTTGGTTACACCTGGTATGAGCATTGTTGGTGAGACTTGAACCTGTGGTTTTTCTGAGTGCAGTATACTATGCCATGCTGCCAGTTAGCCGTGAACCATTGTTCCTTTCAGACTAGCGAGGAAGCTTCCTCAAAGCCTTTTAAAATAAGATTCCAACCAGAACAAGAATTTCCCCGGGTTAGATAAAGTGTTATGGACGCCATTAAAGTTTCTGTTTAGAGTAAATGCTGCCACCTTGTGGTGAAACAGAGGTGCCACAGGAGAATATCTTTGGTAACCAACACCACCATTACCGTCCCCTTCCAGACTCTTCCTGAAGGTCATAGCTGGAAGAACCAAGGATTATAGCTTTAGAGCTGGAAGGAGCCTCAAAGGTCATCTAGACCCAGAGCTGTCAAAGTTATGGCCCTACCTGAAGCAGATTAAATATAATTGGGAAATGTTTAACAAATAAGTAAAATCATAATACCACATAATCTTAATTTGTAATTTTCTAAGCCAATATGAGGCTCCACTCATACTAGACCAAACTTCTCATTTTACAGGGGAGGAAACTGAGTCACAAAGAGGTGAAATGACTTGCAAATCATCACTTCCTGGGGTAAAGTTAGGTCTTGAACCCAAACATCCAGGCTTCCAAGTCCTCTTCTCTTTCTTATTTCATGAGACTGAAAACTCTCATGGGAAATTCCTTAGTAATTGAGAGTTCAAAGGAATGAATGATTCCAGGTAAGAAACCAAACCACCAGTGGGAGTGATGGGGTTCTTCACCCAGGATAATGGTATAGATTTCAGTGGAGTCTGGGAACTTGGGTGAGAAAATTCTGTCTTATTTTTATGCATTTAAAAACAGCACTCGAGGGGCAGCTAGGTGGCACAGTGGGTAGAGCACTGGCCCTGAGGTCAGGAGGACCTGAGCTCAAATTTGCCTCAGACCAAACACTTGACACTTACTGGCTGTGTGACCCTGGGCAAGTCACTTAAACCCAATTGCCTTAAAAAAAAAAAGAAAACGAAGTCTCCTGTCCTTAAGCGGCTAGCACTGTCTTAGCAGCTAGCACTTAATAAATGCTAGTGGAATTGAAGAGCTATTGTGGCTGTCCAGTTGTTTCAGTTGTAGCCAACTCTTTGTGGAAATTTGGGTTTTCCCTGGCAAAAATATTGTGTTTCCTTCTCTAGCCCATTTTACAGATGAGGAACTGAGGCAAACAGTATTGGGTGACTTGTCCAGAGTCCCACAGCTAGTAAGTGTCTGAGGTTGAACTTGAATTCAGGTCTTCCTGACTCCAGGCCCAGAGCTCTATGCACTATGGCACCCCCTAGCTCCCCTAATGAGGAGTACAGATGTGCAAATATAGGAGATCTTAGCAACCAGGGGCATTCTTCACAAAGGACGACTGCCAGGGATGCTGGCCAGGCCATTGGGCAGAACCTTTGGACTTAGGCCACTGCTTTCCCCTCCCTTTCTAAAAGTTCAAGAAGTGTGGCCTTAGAGGAGGTGTTGAGGTACAAGGGAACGAACACTAACTTGGAGTCAGAGAACCTGGTTCTATCTTGGCTCTGACACATACGGGCTGTGTGACCTTGGGCCAGTCACTTTACCTCTATAGGCCTTAGTTTTTCTCATTTGGAAAATGAAGAAGTGGGACTACATGAATTCTGAGGTCTCTTCCAGCTCCAGATCTGTGATCTTATGGAATTCAGACTTGAACAAGTCTGCCCTAGGGGCAGGAGAGGGTGAGGTGTCCCTCCCCCTTCTGGCAGCATTCAAACCTTTGATCCCTCTTTGTTGGCTATGTGACAAGGGGCTGCTGGAAGGCTTCTTTTTTGTTGATAGGACCATGGAGACTTCTTCCACTTTATCTTAGACAAAGAAACAACTCCAATAGGGAAAGGTTTCTTCTCTCCATGCCCAGAATTGATTCTGGACTTGAAAACTCCTTCTGCAGATGAATATTAGCAAATTATAGCCTTAGACAGATTTCTGCAGTCATTGAGTGATTAAGTGACTTGCTTAGGGTCACCTAGCTAGAATATCAGAAGTAAGATTTGAACCCAGGTCTTCCTGACTCCCTTTAACCACCACACCAAGTTTCCTCTCTCGGTAATTCATAAAAACAGTTTTTATCTTCAAAACGGCATTGTCTAGGCTACTGGCCTCTCTGGATCAGGAGGCAAACGGAGAGGAGAAACCTATCCAGGTACTTACTGGGCCCTGCGGAGTGGCCTGCAATGTAGGAGAAGACACAGAAGATGCTGAGGTAAGATAGCTCTGGAACCTCGTTCTGTGGAGAAGAGGAAGTGATAGCTCTAGTTACACGCCTAGGAGGTAGGAAAGGGAAAAAAAAACTAGGCTACTTTAAAAGGGAATCTGTAAGCCTAGCATAGTTTATTCGTGTGCAAAGGATCTCAGGGTTTTAGTGGACTGAAAATTTACCATCAACTGCCTTTTCCTGGAAACAATGAATCTATTAATGCAATGCGAGATTACATTAGCTTCCACATCACACTGCTGACTTATTGAGTTTGAATTCCCACTAGAATCCCCAGATCTTTTTCAGACAAACTGATGTCTGATCTCTCTCTCTCTCTCTCTCTCTCTCTCTCTCTCTGTTCCTCCCTCCCTCTATCTCTCCATATATATATATATATATATACATGTTCTATGAAAAGACAAAATTATATATATTATATATTTATACTCCCTCTCTCTCGCCCTCTCTCCCTTCCTTTCTCTTTATATATATATATATATATACACATATATACATGCATGTTCTATAAAAAAGATGAAATTATGTATATAATATATATTTATATTTTCTCTGTCCCTCCCTCCCTCTCTCCCTCCCCCTCACCTCTCTCTCTGTCTCTCTCTCTCTCTCTGTCACACATGCACACACATACACACATACACACATACACACACACACATACCCTCTTCCTCCATCTTGTACTTGAAAATCTAAAAGAGTAAGACTTTATATTTATCACTATTAAATTTCACTTTATTAGATCCAAGGCAATTTTCTAGACTAAGAACTTTTTTTTTTGTCTAGGCAGTGGGGTTAAGTGACTTGCCCAGGGTCACACAGCTATTAAGTGTTATGTGTCTGAGGCCACATTTGAACTCAGGTCCTCTGAATCCAGGGCCAGTGCTGTATCCACTGCGCCACCTACTGTCCCTGACTAGGAACTTTTTTGAGTCTGACTGTCATCCTGTGGTTAACCTATCCCAGCTTTGTGTCATCTGCTAATTTGATAAGAATGTCATCCCTGCCTTTACATAAGTCACTGATAAAAATATGAAGCAACACAGGGCTGAATACAGATCCTTGGAACCTGCCCTTGAAGACCTTCCAGACTGATGTGGAGATATTAATGGTCATCCATTGGGCCCAGCCATTCAAAGAATTCTGAAGTCCAATAACAATACTCTCATCTAGCTCACATTTCTACATCTATTCCACAAAAAGAGTTCAAGATGCTTTAATTATGAATGCTGTCTTCTTAGCTGTGTGATTCTAGGCAAATCACTTCAGTTTCCTGAGTTTCAGTTTCCTCACCTGGGAAATGTAGGTAATAGTACTATGGAAAGTGGTGGGCCACCTCCAGTCATGCTGTCTATATCTGGCCAGTGGACCCAGATGGCTCTGGAGGAGACAGTGAGGCTGGTGACTTGGCACAGCCCTGCCTTACTTCAATCCAATTCATTTGCAAGTCATGGCATCACCTTCCTGATGTCATGGTCCTCTTCAAGAATGAAGGACAAACCACACAACCACAACAAGCTATAAAAATGAGTGGTTATTATTATTGTTATTCTATTATTATCTTTTTATTATGGTTACTCTATTATGATAATTGTTGTTACTATTTTTCAAAAGAATTGTGATTATCATTGTTATTACTCTCCTGGAGCATTATATAATTTGGTGCTGGGTGAACAGGGAACATGAGTGAATATTTAAATATCTGGGCATTATCTAAGGAGAGAGTAGGTAGGAAGGTTTTGCTGCAGTCCAGGAATTTGGGGACTTGTTTGCCAACGTTCCTTTATGGTGACTTGGTCAGTGTACCCTAAGAACATCACAGCCCGAGTCATTTCTCTCTAGTTTCCTCTCCCTGGGCTCTGATCTCTCCCTCTTCTCATCCCTGAGCAGGCCCTCTTAGATTCTACCAGATCCAGAAAACCCCATGAAGCAGAGCCATCCTATTTCTCACCTGGAACATGAGAGCCAGGGTCAGCACCACACAGGCTGAGCCACATATTCCGTAGCCAACCAGCAGGAGGCGCCGTCTCCCCAGGAGCTCTACAGTGAAAGCCTGAGAAGACAAAGTGAAGTTAATTCCTTTAGTGGACTCCAGTATGTTCTATTCTAAAGAGAGGCAAGGGCTTGAAATGGGAGGTTCCTAGAATACTTTAGCAGGGACTGCAGTTGGTTCATCTTTCCCCAACTCCAGTACTTCCTGCCTACGGTTGCTTAATTCATGTTCCTAAAGCACATTGCTTTTTAATCATGTCACCCCCCCCACACCCCCCCCAAAAAAATTTACAAAAATTCCCTATTATCTGGCTCATTGTCTGACCTTCACAGCTCTCTTCCAACCCCACCCCACCTTGGCTATCCAATCTAATTTTCTTTTTTTTCCCCCAAGATATACAATCAATCAACATTTATTAAGCATCAACTCTAAGTCAGACAGTGTGTTATGTGCTGTATATACAGAGATACAATTACAAATTAAGTAAATAAGGAACAACTTAAATGACCGCAAAGTTATCCCACACTCATGGCTGAACTTCACCAATGTAATAAAAATTATGATACTACCCAAGTGAGTTTACAGATTTGGTGCCATAACTATCAATCTACCAACAGGAAGTCGTAACAAAATTCATTTTGGGGAAAAAGGCCTAAAATCTTAAGGGAAACTATGAAAAAACAAGTAGGAATGAGGGAGGAATAGTTCTTCAGTAAACTCAAACTTTACTATAAAGAAAAATGTTTTCATTAAAACTATTTGGTTTTAATAAGTAGAAAAGCAGGTTAATGGAACAGACAAGACATGGAAAATTAGAAACAAATGAACAAATGAAAAAATCCCTATTTGGTAAGAATTGCAGGGGAAACTGAAAATAGGTCGGTCAGAAATTAGGGTTACACCAACATTTTATACCAAATGCCACAATACACTAAAAAAAGTGACCTGGATATTAAAATTCACATTATTAAAAAAATAAAACATAACTAGATCATGTGCTTTTCACATCTATGGCTAGGGAATAAATTCTCAACCAAACAAGATGGAGAAGACTGCAAAAGATAAAATAGATAATTTTTATTTCATTAAACTAAAAATCTTTTTTAAAAATTTATTTTATTAGTTTATTTTGATTTATCAATGATCACTTCCACATGCTTTGGAGTTTAGAATTTTTCTCCCCCTTCCTTCCCACCACCCTCCCCGAGATGGCACACGATCTGATATAGTCTATACATTTACATTCCTATTAAACATTTTCACATTAGTGAAGTTTTAAGTACAAATTTTCACTAGTGTTTTGCTTTTGACCACCGCCTCCCTCAGTCCCTCCTTCCCTTTCCCTTTTCTTCCTCTTTAGCCTTACTGCTTCTTTCCTCCCTTCTATTCCCCCCTCCCTTTTCATTCCCCTTTTCCCTCCTACTGCCTATAGGGCAAGTTAGATTTCTATACCTAACTGATTATGTTATTCCCTTCTCGAGCCAAATCTGATGAGAGTAAGGTTCAAAAAATGCTCACCCCCCTCCCTTCTTTCTCTCTGCTGTAATAGGATTTTCTGTCTTTTCCTGTAATGTAGTTTACTCTTGTCTGCCTCCTCCTTTCTCAGTACATTTTCTAAGAGACTAATCCACTTACTTGGATCCATTTAACCCACTTGATTAGATTTTTTTTTATCATACATCAGAGTCAACTAATATCCACCCCCTTTATGTATACTCCTTTAACATGGTGTAATAACAATACAGTTCTCAAGAGATGCAGGTGTCATTTTCCCTTGCAGGGATGTAAACAGTCCACCCTTATTAACGACATATTGTGTCTTTCTGTCCCATTTACCTTTTCATGTCTTTCTTGAATCTTGTACTTGCAGATCAGGAAAGCTTGGAAGTCCCCTATATCATTGAATATCCACTTCCTCCCTTGAAAAATCATGCTCATTTTTGCAGGGTAGTTGATCCTTGACTGTAATCCAAGCTCCTTTGTCTTATGGAATATCATGTTCCATGCCCTGTGGTCTTTTAATGTTGAAGCTGCAAGGTCCTGTGTAACCCTGACTATAGTTCTGTGATATTTAAATTGTTTCTTTCTGGCCGCTTGCAGCACCTTCTCTTTCATATGGTAATTTTGGAATTTTGCTATTATATTCCTTGGCATTGTCAATTTGGGATCTCTTTGAGGTGGTGACCAGTGCATTCTTTCTATGGTTATTTTACTGTCTGGTTCTAGGACTTCCAGGCAGTTTTCCTTTATGATTTCCTGAAAGATACTGTCCAGGCTCTTTTTTTCATCATGATTTTCAGGTAGTCCAATAATTTTTAAATTGTCTCTCCTGGATCAATTTTCCAGGTCGGTTGTTTTACCGATGAGGTATTTTACATTTTCATCTATTTTTTCATTTTTTTGTTTCTGTTTGACTGATTCTTGCTCTCTCATAGAGTCATTAGTTTCCATTTGTCCAATTCTAGTTTTTAACAGATTGTTTTCTTCTGTTAGTTTTTGTACTTCCTTCTCCAATTGGCCAATTGTATTTTTAAGGGATTTGTTTTCTTCAGTGTACTTTTTTTCCAGTTTGCCAATTGTGTTTTTTAGGGACTTGTTTTCTTCAGTGTACTTTTTTTCCAATTGGCCAATTGTTTTTTAAGGACTCTTCTACCTCTCTCATTAGACTTTTAAAATCCTTCTTGAGCTCTTCTAAGAAGGCTTTTTGGGCTTCAGACCAGTTCATATTCCCTTTTGATGTTGCAGATGTGGGTTTGTTGACAATGTTGTCCTCTTCAGAATTTCTGTCTTGATCTTCACTCTTCTCATAATATGAATCTATGGTACATTTCTTTTTACTCATGGTGTTTCTTTATTCCCTGGCCTTTAAAGAGATTGAGCTCTCCTGCTGGGGAACAGAGGGCACTGACCCAAGCTTCTTGTGTTGGGAGCCTAGGTCTTGGTCACTGGCTTTCTGTGCTGGGGCCTCTTATGTTGGCAATTGGAGGCTGTAGAGTTCTGGCAGATTACCTCATGTTGGGCTGGAATCAGCAAGGCTGGAACTTTCAGGCAATTCTAGGTTGTCTGCTTTTCCTTTCCTTTAGCTTTCTTCAGCTCCTTTTAGATGGGTGCTACAGGGCGTTTATTTGTCTGGGGCCCCTTGCAGTGCTGTCTCCCTTGTATCTGCTAATGCACTGGGAGATTCCTTTGCTGTATAGTGCCGAGGCACCTGGTGGTTTTCTGAGCTGGTTTCCACTGGTTCCCCTCCCCCTCCCTGAGGCCCTCAGAGGTCCGGGTGTTGATGTTTTCCTGCTCTACCACCTGGGCTTCAGGATCTCTTACTGGTTGACAGTTGGAGGTTCTGACAGCTTACCTAGTGTTAGGCTGGAATCAGCAAGGCTTGGACTTTAGGAAGACTTTAGGTTGCTTTCTTCAGCTCCTTTCAGATGAATGCTGCAGGGTGCTTATCCGTCTGGGGCCCTTTGTAGTGCTGCTTCGATTACTTTTGCTGAGGCCCTGGGAGACCCGTTTGCTGGGCTGCTGCACGGCTGCTCCCCATCTTTCTTCTAGTTCTGCTGTTCCAGGGTTTTGTTTTTCCTGGGGTGATATTTTCTGGGTTTTCAAAGGTTGATAGGGGAGGGTGAGAGCCACTACCCTTTTACTCTGCTGTTTTGGCTCCCGGAAGCAGAAGTCCCCAATCTAATTTTCTATTTCCCAACATTCACATTCTGTTCCTACTCAGCTGGTCTGTCTTCTCATTGTCCCCTGCACAGACCACATTGATGCCCAGCCTGGTTTCTGTTGCTCTTTCTTCCCCCAACTCTTTCATGGCCCAGCTCAAGTACAAACTTCTTGATCGATGGAGTGGCATTTCGTTGAGGTTCCTCACCTTTCTTTTCCTCTATTACCACTTAGCAAGCTGTGAAATATTTACAATTTCATTTTTGTCTTTCAATCAGCAATGCTTGTGGATTATATTTTGCACGACTGCACATGTATAATCTACATCAAATTTCTTGCCTTTTCAATGAGGGGAGAGGAGGGGAAGAGGAGAATTTGGAACTCAAAATTAAAAATTAAAAATTAAAGTTAAAAATGGTTTGCACATGTAATTGGAAAAAATAAAATATTTAATTAATAAATACTCGTTGATTGATTGACTGATGTAAGGAAAGACCACTCTCCTTCCAAGTCTAGAGCTGTCTTTGTGACTTTTGTCTAACCTTTGTCTGAAGTCTCCTCCTTATGTTTTGGAGACTCTTCTCAGAGACTCCCTAAATACAAACGACCCTTTCTGTAAGGGGCCCATAACTACTGACAGCCAGGACTCTGTGACCTCTAATCCAGGCTTGTCTGAGAGAGTAGAGAAGAGCTCAGAAGGCATGGAGTTATTATCCCCCACATCTCTGGTCTAAGACTTTAGGCAACTTAAAACACAGACTGGTATATGAACCTTTCCCAGGGACATGTAAAATCCAGGGGAACAGAAATGCAGACACCCGGGGGAAGACTTTAACGGAGAAATTACAAGTGGCCCGACCTCCTGTCAGCAAAATGAGCTCCCCAGATACAGCGTAATGGCCAGGTGAAAAGGGTGAGGAGGTCTGGTCATAGCTCTTTTGTCTACTGTCTGCAGGCAGCCTTAGAGTGAAAAAGAGACTGGTGCCCTCCTTAGCAGTATTTTCTGTTCCCACAATTCCACTATCCTGCCTTCTTGACTGTGGTAGGAGCTTCTAGGTAGGGCAAGTGACCTACGGAGATGACTGTCATCACAATGTTGAGTATGCCTGCGCCCACGGTCACATACTGAGTGTGCATGGGATTCACGCCAGCTGTGGTATAGATCGTGTCTGCGTAATAGTTAATCTGGAACAAAAGCACGCAGGTTTAACATTAGTGGAGGCCCGGGGTTACAGGAAATGAGCTTGATTTCTTGATTTACGGCAACAAATAGCCCTAAGTACATAGGGAAGGGGCAGCCCAGGGACAGGAAGGAGGCAAGCTCCTTCACCCTCGCCTGATTTTGGTTTCTTTTTTTTTTTTTCCCCCAGCCAAAGACAAGGTTTAATAGAACATCCGTCATGCTGGGCAGACTCTTAAGGAGTCTGAACATTAGTAAGCTATTGGCTAGATTATAAGAATCTGACCAGTGGCTAGATTTTAAGAATCAGAGCCGATTTTGGTTTCTTGTTTTAGGTCACCCAAATAATGGTGACAGAGTCAGACCAGGAGGATTGCTTCAGAGAGGAAGCATGCCACCCCCTCGCACCCCTCCAGCCCCAGACAATTACACGGGAGACAAAGCCCCGTCGCCCCGGGTTCGTTGCTGCTCTCATGACCCGCTCCCTCCTCCCTTCCCAGAATCCCGCACACCGCATTGATACCGGACAGCGGCTGGCCTGCCATTAAGACAATGATGGAAATGAGCTGCCACCTCAGGGGCTTGAAGGTGAAGAGGTTGATCACAGACAGGCGACCTTCAGCTTTCTCTGCCTGATCCTCCAGGCGCATCTCCTCAATCTCGTCCTCCACGTTGTCCCAGTTTCTCAGTTCCCTCAAAGCTGCGGATGAGGACAGAGCAGACAGACGGGAAACAGCTTCAGAATGGAGATAAGGCTGATGGCCAGACCCTTTCCCCTCCTCTCCAGGGCAGCTTTCTCCAGGAATTTCTATTCAATAAGCATTTAAGTACCTGGGTGATTGGGTGCTAAGGACCCAAAGACAAAAAGGAACCTACATTCCACTGGGTTTGAAGGGAGAAAAAAGTTACATGAATATTTCCCCACTGTCCTTGACCACACCCTACATGTTGGGAATGCCCTCAACTCTGACCAGGCCCCCAGCCCCATTCCTGTGCCCAGCAGCAGCTTCAGGCTTTGTGGAGGAGGACAGAGAGAAATTAAGAGACAAATAAAGGTGGGAGGGAATTTCAGAGTAGGCAAAGTGTGCTCAGAAGCTGGAGCAGGAAATGAGAATGCATCCTGGGTACCTTTCCTGGCCCGGTCTTCATCGCCTATCTGAATCAGTGTGTACCTGGGACTCTCTGGGAAAAAGGGCAGAGAAAGGAGTTGCAGGGCTGCGGGGATCCCCGTGATTGCCAGGAGCACAGGCCAGCCTGAGGGGAGCCAGGAAGGAGAAGCAGCATTAAAATCACTTTATATATGTGTGTGTGAATGTATATATATATATATATATATATATACCACCACATACCATATACGTGTATGTATAGGTGTGTGTATACATATGTGTGTGTATCTATACCTATCTACCTATCTGTCCATCCATCCATATCCATTTATCTGTCCATCCATCATCTCTCTATCTGTCCATCCATCCATTATCTATCTATCTATCATTTATCTGCGTATCTAATCTATCCATCCTCCATTCATCCATCCTCCATCTATCTATCTATCTATCTATCTATCTATCTATCTATCTATCTATCTATCTATCTATCTATGCCTATTCAGAGCATCCTACCTCCAGTCCACATTCCTTCACCTAGGTGATCACTCACTTCCAGCCTCCTCACCTCCACCTCTTAGAATCCCAGGTTTCCTGAAAAGCTCAGCTGAAAGGCTGCCTCCTATAAGAAGTCATTTCTGAGGGCAGCTAGGTGGCGCGGTGGATAGAGCACCAGCCCTGGATTCAGGAGGACTCGAGTTCAAATCTGGCCTCAGACACATAATATTTACTAGCTGTGTGACCCTGGGCAAGTTACTTAACCCCGTTGCCTACCCCCCAAAAAAAAGTCAATTCTGAGCCCACCAGGGACATGTGTCTCCCCCCAAGAAATTACCTGTACATATACATATGCATATAGAGATAAATGTAATATACCTGTATGTATATATAGACACATATATGGGTGTGTATACACATATGTGCACACACACATATATCACACACTAATATCTGCGTATATGTGTGTATATATGCGTGCATACTCATGTAGGTATATACATGTAGTGCATATGTATATGTTGTGATGTACACATGTATATGTATTATACAATGCATATCTATTTGCATATACATATACATATGCATATGTACCAGGCAATTTCCTGTGGGATACACACGGAATGAGGGGATCAGTAATGACCACTTGTAGGAGGCAGCCTTTGAACTGAGCTTTGAAGGAAACCTGGGATGCTAAGAGATGGAGGTGAGGAGGGAGGGCGTGGGTGATCACCTGGGCAGATGGATGAGGACCAGAGGTGGGATGCTCTGCACCAGCAATAGCCAGAAGGCCAGTTTGCCCGGACTCTAGATGGGTAGGCTGATGCCTGACCTCTAAGGCTCCTTCGGGCCTTCAAAGGATGATCGTCTGAAGCTTCTATAATCCAGTGAGCTCCTTCTACTGCTATCCCTTGCCTCCCTTGACCCCAACACTGATTTACCTTCAGGATTTCCCAGAATGGCCTGTAGGCTGAAGATCTGTGCTAGAAAGACTCCTGTGATGACAAAAACCTCTGTCATTGTTCCTAATGTGCCTCTCAGGTTTGGGGGGCCCAGCTCTCCAGGATACATGGGCAGGGCACTGTAGGCTATGCCTATATGAGTAAAAGACAAAGACAGGAAAAGGGAAGTTGGTGGGAGGGAGAGAGGTAGAAAGACAGATGCATTAGACAGAGAAAGGCAGAGAAGGAGAGGGACACACACAGACAGAGAAACACGCACAGAGAGAAATCAGTTTTGAGGGGGACATATGAAGGTCAAAATTCTCATAGGGCCTTTGTAAAGTTGGCTAAGAAGTTATTTACAGGAAATATCACCTTCTTTTCTATTTTGAAAGAGTCGGATCCTCCATGTCAATGTAATAAAAATGACAACGCTACCGAAATTACTTATTCAGTTCCATACCATTCAAACTACCAAAGGATTGCTTTAGAAGGCTATAAAAACTAATGACAAAATTCATCTGGAGGAACAAAAGGTCAAGATTCTCAAGGGAAATCATGGGAAAAAAAGACAAGAGGAGGGGGCTAGCAGTATTGGATGTCAAACTATATCACAGAGTAGTAATCATTGAAACTACTTGGCATTAATTAAAAATAGAGAAGTCAGTCAATGGAACAGATTAAGTATATAATAATAATAATAATAATAATAATAAACTTTACATGTTCTTTTAAGGTTTTCAATGTTATCTCATTTGATTCTTGCAACAACACTGGGAAGTGGGAGCTATTATTACCCTCATTCTATAGATGAGGAAACTGAGACACAGAGTGGTTAAGTGACTTGTCCAGGGTCACATTGATAGAGCATGATCTGAAATGGGGTTTGAACTTAGGTCTTCCTGATTTCAAGTCCAGCATTCTATTCACTGCACCACATAACTGTTCCATATATATGTACATATAGAGAATATACCAATATACTTCATTTCTAACAACATACAGAAACAAAGGGACATAGTAGCATAGTGTCTGCTAAATCCAAAGACCCTCACTTCTGAGGTAAGAATTCATCATTTGACAAAATCTAAAAAACCTAGAAATTAGTTGGCCAGAAATTAGATCTAGACTAAGATGTCACACCATATAGCATAATAAGCTCTATATGAAAACACAACCTAAATGTGGGTCACATAAATAAATGAGAGGAGGAGGGAAGGAAATACCTTTGGTAATTACGGATAGCATTCATGATCAGACAATAGATAAAGAGGATGACAGAAGATGAAATGTGCAATTTTGATTGCATAAAATTGGAAATTTTGTACAAACAAAATCAGTACATCTAAGAAGAAGAACAGAGTTAGCTAAGGAAAAATACTTATAACAAGCTTCTCTGATAAAGATCTGATATCCAAGATATAAAAAAAAAACTGATTTAGATATACAAGAATGACCGCCATGCCCCAACAGATAGGTCAAAGAATATGAACAGACAGTTCTTGAGGGAACAAATTCAAGCAATCAATAGCCATATTTGAGAAAAGGCTCCAAATCACTAGTAACTGGAAAAATGCACTCAAACAATGAGGTTCCATCTCACACCTATCATATTGGCAAGGATTACACAATGAAAATGACAGTTGTTGGAGGGGCAATGGGAAGGTAGGCAAACTGGAGTACATTGGTGGAGTTATGAGTTACCCCAGCCATTATGGGAAGTAATTTGGAACTATGCCCTCCAAGTTACTAAACTGCGCATACCCTTTGATCCGGTGATCCTGCCAGTGGGTCTAAATGTCAAAGAGATCGAAGAAAGAGGAAAAAGACCCATATGTACAAAAATATTTATAATAACACCTTTTGTTCTAGAGAGCAAAGGGAGTGCCTATCAATTGGAGAATGGCCAAACATATCATGGTACATGAATGCTATGGAGTACTATTGGGACATGAAAAGTGATGAGAGGCAGAATTTCAGAGAAACGTGGGAAGACTTGCATGAACTGATGCAGAGGGAAGTGAGCAGAACCAGAAGAACAATTTATCCAATAACAAAAACAACATTATAAAGACAAACAATTTTGAAAGACTTAAGAACTCTGATCATTGCAGTGATCAATCACAGTTCCAGAGGAATGATAATGAATGATGCTACCTTCTTCCTCATAGACAGGAGTAGACTCAGGGTACAGCATGAGGCATACCTCTTTGGACACAGCCAATCCAGAAATGTGTGGATTTATTTTGCTTAATTATGCTTATTTGTTACAACAGTTGTGTTTTCTTTATGCATTTGGGACAGAAGATTAGGGCAGGGAGAGAGGGGCCCTAGTGACAGGGTCACACTCCCCACTCAAGGAAAAAAAGTATGTCATTGGATGTTGTTTAAAACGCAGAGAAGAGAACTAAAAGAAGTTCAGGAGGAAACCCAAACAAGCAGGAGAACCTTGAAAGTAACATGTTGAATTTATTATACTGGTTATTATATTTATTTTCCGCAAAGCAAGCTGTATATAATAATCTCATTTTCACATGTAACCTTCTTTTCTGTACTACTCTATTTTATATATGGGGTTTTTTAGGGGGAGGTGTTATTAAATTCAGTTTAAAAATACAATTAAAAAAAGGAAAAGTAAAGAAAAATTTTTGATTAGCCACATCTTGATCTTATAGGGAGATCAGGTCCTTCTGAGAGCTGATAAAGCTCTTGCATCAAATATTCCTTGGAAAACCTTTAAAGTAATTTTTATTTTTTCCCCCAGATCTGTTTTCATTTTGTGAAAATGTTACAGTCATTTTTGTTGGTCTATAAAAGAACCATCATCAGGGTCAAAAACGAGTTTTTATAAATTGAAAACAAAACCCCAAAAACCCCAAAAACAAACATTCTACACCTTGGGAAGGAAAATCAGCAGTAACATTCTCACTGAAGGTTGTAAATTACATTTTTCTTCATTAAAGGTATGTACTATTCTTCGTGTTCCATTAAAAGCAGTGATGTAAGTTATAATTTTATAAATATAGATACGTATAAACCTCCCCCAACTAGGACAACTTGTGATAGGAAGTGCTTTCCCTCTTTTCAGAGCCTAAAGTCATTTCTTAGGCCTGGCTTAATGCAAAGGGAGGGGAGGTTGGCCCCGTCCTCCATCTGCAGGCTGAGATGCATTCTCTGGTCTTAGGTATTCTTGTCTGGTTAAAATACAAATACCCTTGAGAGAGATAATTTTTTTGGGTGAGGCAAACAGGGTGAGGTGACTTGGCCAGGGTCACATAGCTAGAAAGTGTCTGAGGCCACATTTGAACTGAGGTCTTCCTAACTTCCTATCCACTGAGCCATCTAGTCGCCCAAGAAAGATAAAACCTTAAGCTGTCATCAGTTATTGGTACTTTTGTGTGAGTGAGCTTATCTTTTCCTGAAAGCAGGCCTTGACAAATGAGAACAGAATAGGAGCGTAAGGGCCTGAGAGTAAGGCACTGGGGGTATTTCCGTGATACTCCACTTTCATTCTCCCCCATGGCCTCAGGTTAGCTGGGCTGTGGTCCACATACCTGCACAGATTCCTACTATCACCCGGGAAAGGATGATCATCTCATACGACTTGGCAGCTTTACTGGATCCCATCAGGATGGCAGGGATGATGGCAAAGATGTTATTGATTAGCAGGGTCCTCTTTCGGGAAAGACAGTCCAGGTTCAGTTAGCCATTTGGGAAAGCTAGCAGGGACAGCACTCCCCGGGGTGAGAGGGGGTGTCATCTCAGGAATTCTAAGCATATTGGAAATGGAATCTGGGTAGGTTGTCACCAGAGCAGTTCTGGGAATGTCAGTGAGAACAGAGTGATAGAATGGGAAAGAAAGCAAAGGGTAACAGAACATCACTCTCATTCCATCTCCAGTCTATGTACTTACACAGTCTATCTGCAATTCATTTCTTCATTTGAATTTGAATTCGAAATAATTCTCAGAACCTTTGTCATCCTTCAAGAGGAATGAGAGTGTTGGACCATTTTCCCAGATAGAATGTAAGCTCCTTGAGGTCAGGGACTGTTTCATTTATATCTTTTTTTTTTATCTCTAGCACTGAGCACAGTTGCCTGGGACATATATAAATGGATTTAATTTTAGCATTCAATAAATGCTTATTGGATTGGTTGATCTGTGTACATGTGGTATCCCTTACTTGGTAGAATGTAAGTTCTTAGAGATTCAGTCTTTGTATCCTTATTGCTTTAGCAGAGGACCATGCACATAATAGTCATTTAACAAATGTTGAATTTAGTCTGGGTCAGCAGTATGTTTTTAGCATCATCTTGGAAGATGGGGCACTGTTTAAATCTGGGTAATAGTTGATTTTTGTACAGAAATTTCCTTGGAGCAGATTGGCACGGTCTCTCAAAAATGTTGCTCACATACTCATCTTCCTAAGCTCTTGAGGGGGAACTCAAATGATCTTTGGGTAGATCAGTTTCTCCTATCCCCTTTACCACAAGTGGGGCTTGCCCCGTGCAGGAGCCTGGTTCTTGTACTCAAGGACTAAGATACACTAAATAGATAAGAAAGGAATGAATTTGCCCTTTGGGGTGTAGGAATGGGCTCTGAGAACAGAGGTCAGATATCTAGGCCAATTCCCTCATTTTACAGATGAGGAAACTGAGGCTCAAGGGGGTTCAGTGACTTGCCCAAGTTTATACAGATGTAGAATGAAGAGAGCCCAGACCTTGCAGTATAGGATACACAGTGAATCTGGAGGTCCCAAAGAAATTGGTAGCTTCATTCATATTCATCATCTGAAAAATGGGGATGCTATTTAAACTCTCTCACATATTTGCTGAAGGCTTTATAGAAATCAGAGCTACTACTTCATAAACATGAGCTATTATTATTACTAATCTTCCTTTGACCATCCCACTCCATCCTAGCAACTCAGGTCCTACATGAGAAGGGAGATTTCTCTGGTCCCTCTTGGATGAAGGCTGGGTACATGCCAGACACTGTGCTAAGTGCTGGGAGTATAAAGAAAGGCAAAAGCCAGTCCCTTACCCTCAAGGAACTTACAGTCTAATGGGGCAGACAGCAAGCAAACCCTCTATGTATAGACAGGATAAACTGGAAACAATCAACCCAGAGAAGGCACCAGAATTAAGGGGGATCTGGGAAAGCTTCTTGTAGAAGGTGAGCATTTAGCGGAGACTGGAAGGAAGTCGGGAGGTGGAGATGAGGAGGGAGACCAGTCTAGGTGGGGGAGACAGCCAGGAGAAAGGTCTAGAGTCTGGAGATTGGAACATTTTATTTGAGAACAGCAAAGAGGTATTACTGGTTCATAGAGTACATTGGGGGAAGTTAGGTATAAGAAACCTGTAAAAGTAGGAGGGGGCCAACTTATAAAGGGCTTTAGAAGCCAAGCAGAAGATTATCTATTTGATCCTGGAGGAAATAGGGAGCCACTGGAATTGATTGAATAAGGGGGTGACATGGTCAGTTTGGCAGCTGAGTGGGGAACGCACTGCAGTGGCGAGAGATTTTCATCACATTGTCATAGTCCAAGAATGGGGTGATGAGGGTCTGTACCAGGGTGGTGGCAGTGTCAGAGGAGAGAGGGAATGAGTAACAAGGATTTTACAAAAGTAAAAATGAGAGGGGCAGCTAGGTGGTGCTGTAGATAGAGTATCAAGCCCGGAGTCAGGAGAACTCCGCTTCCTGAGTTCAAATCTGGCCTCAGACACTTACTGGCAGTGTGACTTTGGGCAAGTCACTTAACCCTGTTTGCCTCAGTTTCCTAACCTATAAAATAACCTAGAAAAGGAAATGGCAAACAACTCTAGTATCCTTGCCAAGGAAACCTCAAATGGGGTCATGAAGAGTCAGACATGACTGAAACAACAACAAAATTGAGAGAACTTGGTGATTGATTAGATATGGGAGATGAGAAAGAGTGAGAAGTCAAGGTTTCAAGCCTGGGTGAACGGCAGGATGGAAGTGCCTTTTGCAGCAATAAGGAAGTTCAGAAGAAGGGAAGATTTGGGGGAAGAGATGAGGAGTGCCATTTTGGACATGTCGAATTTAAGATGTCTATGGAATATCCAGTTTGAGATGTCACTGGGCAGTTGGAGATGAGAGACTGGAGATTAGGAGACAGTTTAGGGCTGGATAAGCAGATCTGGGAATCATCAGCACAGAGATAAGAAATGAGCTGATGAGGGAGATGAAAAGTGAGCCCAGAACAAAGCCATGGGAGACACTCATGGTTAGTGGGCATTACCTGGATAAGGATGCAACAGATGATACCAAGGAGAGGTCAGATAGGTAAAAGGAGAACCAGGAGAGAGTAGTCTCAAGGAGAAAAAGGTGATGGACAGTGTCAAAGGCTGCAGAAAGGTCAAGGAGAATGAAGCCTGAGAAAAGGGCTCTGGAGATGGAATGAAGAGATTTTCAGTAACCTTGAAAAGGGAAATTTCAGTTGAATGATGAGGTTGGAAAGAGACTTAAGAGAGGAGAGGAAAGAAAGTGGAGGCACTAACTTCTCATGATTATCTAGCCACAAAAAGGAGAGTTGGGGATGATAGCTAGTGGGGATGGATGGATCAAGTGAAGTTTTGTTTTTTTTAAGTGAAACTAATATATCTGAATGAATGAAATGTGAATATGAATGAATTATGGATTCCTTTTTTTAAAGCAGAAAAAGCAGTTTCATTCCTTCCAGCCACAGGCAACACCTCAAATTCAGGGCTAATTCCCTTAGGACCAAGTATACAGCTGAAGCTACTAGTCCTACTTTATGAAGAGATAACACTCTCTAGTAACTAGTAGCCAGGGTTCACCTGCAGCGAATGTGTTCAGATCATTTAAAAAGTTTATTTAGAACACCATACACAGTAACAGCAATATTGTTTGATGAAGAACTGTGAATGACTTGGCTATTTTCAGCAATACAATGATCCTAGAGAATCCCAAGGGACTAATGATGAAGCATACTGTTCACCTCCAGAGAAAGAACTGATATTGATTGAATATAGACTGAAGCACGCTATTTTCTACTTTCTTTCATTTTTTCTTTTATTCAAGTCTTCTTGTACAAAATAACTAATATGG